ATATATATATATATATATATATATATATATATACATAGTGTAACGGTGTATACTGCTGACGAGGTATGCGAGTAGTGTCTTGTCGTCAATCCGCTTCACGTCTCTTGAAAGTGAGATCTATTACGGAATTTGTGAAGTCGTTTTGTAGCATTTGCTTGCATTTTCGTAACAGTCAATGAATACCCAGGAAAGTTCAGGAAGACGCGTTCAAGGATAATATGGATATTCCGTTTTGTAAACAAGATGCATATGAGAGTTTTCCCTGTCTGTTCAATAGCCTGTAACTGTTCAGTTGGCGTTTCTCCAATAAACAAATCCACGGCGAAGGCACTCTTCCTTTCACCAGTAGTCCGTCAATGAAGCCAACGAAATGCGTTATAAGGGAATATCTCAAACTGAACAGTGTCCACTGCACTATTGAGGTCAGCTCAGATATAATTACATGACGATAAGATATCAGAATCCGATGTGAAGTTGTTCAGATAGTTCAGGAAGTACTTACGTCTTAATTTTTTTGCCCAAAATTAAGGTTTACCAAAACTGTCATCCAACCTTCAGGATCGTGAGTTATGTGATGTTTAGTCGGATGTTCACTTACTTTGACGGCAAAAACAGCGTGGACACAGGAGGGTGAGTAACTCCAGAGATATGAAATTCATCAGGAGTCTGCTGTGATTCTTACTTTTCAGTCTTTTGAGGAGTAAACGCTATCTACATATGGATATGAGTGGTGAAAACTAGCAAACCGGCTGATCGCTGCTAACTTATCCTTGAATACTGCTGGCTGAACTGGTCCTTTTTCTTGGTAATTTTGTCCAATCTTGCGTTTCCCCACCGGGTCGTCCCATAATCTTGCTTCTACTTTTGAAATGCCTTCGCTGCAGAGTTATTTGTTAGAAAACACCAACTGAACAGTTACAGACTATTGAACAGGGGAGCAAGACTCTCACCTGCATCTGGTTTACAAAAACTGAATATCCCTCTTCTCCTCGAACGCGTCTTCTTGAACTTTCCTGGATATTCACTGACTGTTTCTCAAATGCAAACAAATGGGACTCCACCAATAGTGTAAAAGATCTCACCTTTTAAGAGACGCGAAGTGGACTTTTGAGAAAACATACTACTCGCATGCCCCATCAGCAGTATCCACCGTTACACTGGTACCTGTTCGGTTATATTGGTCCACAATATTCGTAGCTGTCCAGTTGTAGATGTTCCATCCTACCACATTTGGGTACTGTTAGGCTATGTTCGTTCGCGTCATATGGTTTCCTTTGATCCTAATATTTCAATCGTCGATTTTTTGCAGAGAAACTAACCCAAACAATAAAATGCTGAGTTCAAAGACGTCTTGTGAATAGCAGGTGGATGTTGTGGACTGCTTCCATTACGGGAATTCTGCAGTTCGATCAGTGTGTTCCCATACAGTAGACCAATTATAAGGTTGCGGAACTCCTACTGCAGTCAACTTCTAGTTACGCCATCTTGGAGCTCGTCGAATTTCCAGCAACCACATTGAGCAGCTTTTTCTATTTACTGGTAACTCATTTGTCTCTCAGGTTAACGCAGTCCCATTTCACAAAAGTATACTCACCTCCATATAACAACCTGAAAGTTCAACTTTTCGCATGTCTAGCAAAACTAATGGCGTGGCGGTGGGATCCTCTTTGCAACCGACTAAATTGAAAGCGAATCCATTGACAATGAGTTCGATTTAGCGTTGAGCAGTATTGTTCATGTCAACTAATACTTCATCTGAGTGGAATTAAAACAATCCTGAAGACTTAGAGTAAAATTTAATTTCAAGTCTTTTAACTGCCGAACGAAACGTTCGCAATTTTTGGATTTTTTTATCTGTGTACATCCGCTTATTGACAGTGTTCACTGGCTAACTTATTTTCAACACTAGTCAGCTCGCCGGTACTGACGTGTCGGACAGGGCTTGAGGCATCACCAAGTGTTCTGAGGACAGTGAGCACGGTGGGGTTTGCTCAGACGGCCGTCGATCTGTTGGGCGAGCTTAAAAGCCAGCTGGAAAACGTCTCATCACCGACTGAGGAGATAAAATCAGGGTGTTGGTAATTGATCAGGTGTCTGTTCGCCGAGCTTGGCAAGCGGTTTGCTAAAAACGTTTCATCACCATTCGGTGCGCTGAAGATGTCTCCTCGAATGGTGACGAACAGTTTGCAAATCAATTGCCAAGCTCGGCGAAAAGATCAACAGTCATCTGATCAATTACCAACTAGTGCACTCGAGCTACCAATATTCCAACATATTACCGGAAATCAGGGCGGTGTGTTTCCAGCTTGTAGTGTTACAACAAATGTAAGTGGGTGATGAGTGCTTGTACCTCTCACATATGTGGTTATAAGTAATTCTTCTTAGAAATGCTCAGGTCACCGATACCGATTTTGAGGCCATAAGAAACAAAAGAGAAATCCCAAGGAGATCTTGTCAGTTGAGATGAACTCGATTCGGCTGATGGAAATGTCACGGCTCTAGGTTCTATTCATATTCTACGGATATTCAAATTCAATAAGTTCTAGGCTACACGGCGGAAGAATTAAGACAGAGCCGATAAAATTCCAAACTTTCTTAAGATTTCATGGGATACGTTTGGAAATACTGGTGATCACTTCGAGCTAGACCGGTCAAATCCCACATAGCGAGAGTTCCCAGCATGAGGCGATCAATTCTGCCATCCATTTAATGTTATTTCTGGATGAGAGTCCTTGTATGTTGTCGTCGAATTCCGGTCCTCATCCCTCAGACTCTTATTTGGATTACATCAGTACCAGACTAATCAAAGAAATCCAATTAGTTGGGTAACAATTTAAGGTCAACATTGTCACCTACTGTCTGCC